TTTGTAGATTGCTCTATGAAGATCTACAATAGTGATGAAGAAAATATAAATCATTATTTTAATCTCAATTTTAATGAGCATTTCAAAACTTGAAATAATAATAATCTTATTTTTATTCATTGTTTTTAATATATCACAATAATTTCTTTCATGTCTATCATTCTTAAATAGTTTCTTCTATAATTGAGCTTGCTTTTTTCTTTTTTGATGAATAAATATATTTTTTTGTTCTATTATTATTAATAATAATGTTTGTGAATATTTGATTTTATTCAATATCAGAAATGATGTAAAATTTATTTTTAAAGATCTGAAATTGAAATGTTGATTTGATTTTCACTACTTGTTCAAGTAGCTAATATCAAATGAATTGATGTGGTACACTATCAGATATGAACCGAATTTATTCATGTTGACTTTGTTTAAAAGTTATTAATGGATCAATTGTTGCTTTACATCTGTCCTCAGGTAAAAAGTGAGCTAGTACAAAGTTTTTTTCAGTAAATTTATCATCATTATTGCCATTTTTCGATTCTATTTTAGTCTTGTCTCAATATCGCATATATGTAAAACTCGAATAGTCATAACGACTATTTAACTACTCGAGTATTCACGACTTAACGACTATTAAACTATTGAAACACAGACCAGATCGGAACGACTAAAACTACACACATACTATGGGTGTCACGGAACGCAGATCATACAGACATGCTGCAAGTCCCATGTAACAGGAATGGTTGTAAAGTCGTTACGGCTTAACGAGTTCTACACTACTGCCAGCTGAAGATTTTGGTATTACTGTTGATTTGAATAATATTGTTTATCAATTAACTGTTTAATTTTCTTTTTTGTTAACAGAATGTTCTTTTCAGCTAAACAAAGGTTTTTAATTTATTATATATCGAGTGATGGAAAAGTGAATATCAAGAAATAACTTTACGTTGACTTTTTTCTCTGAGAAAAGCTAAAACTTTGATTCTTCACTTGTTCATGTACAGCGAAGTTGTCAGATATTGGCAAAAAAAAAAACTCGGATCGAAACCCTACAGGGTCTAGATCCACAAAAATATGGACCCACAGCTCCCCACTATGAATAGACGGGGAAAGAATGATCTTCGTATTGTAAGGATGATCATAGTTAGCAAATAACTTTTTCTATGCATCTTGTCTTTATACTACATCAATTGTTCGATTCAAAACAAAAACAAATCAAAAGTATTAATGTTTTGGAAATAAGTCAATACAATAAACAATTATTTAATTGTTAAGAAATATGGATCTAGAAAATAATATCATTACATGATTTTCTATTTTTTTGATTTAATATGAAAAATTAGCCTATCATTTGAGAAAAGTGTTTTTTTTGTTTTGAAATATCAATTTCATAAAATACTTCATTATTAATAAAAATTTATATTTTCCCTTGTAATAAATTTCGAATCATTTCACGACCTGAAATACGAAGTGTATGATAAAATGTAATAAAATCTAAAGTTGAAGTTAATGTATCTGCAAAACCAAATGGCATCATTGGTGATATCCATCCACGTGCATATTCAAGTGCCCAGCATCCTCGATGCATTTTAAATTGTTTCGATGTACCCTTTGGTAAATAATGAACACTACCAACTTGATAAA